CTACTTTTTTAAAGGCCAGAAAATTAAGCCACAGCATACATCAGCCGCCTCAGTGTCCCACATTTCTTCTCTTAGAGCTGCTCTGTTCCATTTTGAGCACAGACATCAAAGCGTGAGCTGTGACTGTAATACAGGATGGCAGAATAGAGGTAATACAAAAAGTTTGAAATATTTCCACTCATACCAAACTATTAAAGTACATCCTCTCATCGGTAATTTTACATTTTGTTAAAGTTTTGGAACTTATCCAAAGTCACACAGATTATATATATATACCTTAACATCCATACAGTTTCCTGTATAAATTATTTTACTTTTTTAATTAATGAAAGCAGCAGAAAATCGACAAAAGCTTTTCTTCAGACAAACCGAGTTGTTTGCCTTCTGTCAGGTAAAAGTATTATGTGCTCTTTACAGAAGCTTTTTTATACGTAATATAAGAAAGTTAGAAATACTGAGAGAATTATGTGTTTATCAATGTTTGTGTCAGCATGAATAGTCCCTTTACATGACATAGGTCCCTGTGTCATACCAAAATGTAAACACATATGGATGTTAAATTGGATATTTGCTGTCATTGTTTTTTTTAATCTTATTTATAGATTATACAACAAATATAAATATTGAAGCAAATAAGAGAGTTCACACTAGTTACTGTACAGAAGCTCTGGATTGGTACGTCTGGATCGCTTTTTTTTTAAGCTGGAAAAAACGCCCCTCACCTTCTCTAGAGAAAAGTCTTTACAAATTCAAAATAGTATAGAAGAAAATAGAATAGAATAGAATAGAATAGAATAGAATAGAATAGAATAGAATAGAATAGAATAGAATAGAATAGAATGGAATGGAATGGAATGGAACATCCTTTTATTGTCCTACAATGGGGAAATTCTGGAAAAATACAATTTCCTGGCCAGAAGTGGATGTTTGAAAGTAATAGATCTAATTCATAAGGCATATTGCTGTCTTATTTTGTTCTTATAAAAATGCACCATACCCTCAAAAGGCTCTGAATGTTGGGGCTTTCTGAACTTCTTATAGGCTCATAGCTGTCATTTGTAAATTCCTGCATTTGTCATATAATATATTATATACTTTGCATTGGAAAATGAGTTTTAGCAACCTAGTTTTATTCTGCATTGACAGCAGTGGTTATGGCATTACTTCAGTTTATATTATCTTCTCTTTATGCATTATATAAGGACAAGTTTTTGTTCTGTCAACATTAAAACCAACAGGAAATGTTTTTGTTTTACACAATGAACTGGTCCTACAGGTTAAACAGTGTAACTGAGGATTAAAATAATTAAATCTGGTTCTACCTCAGTTTTTTTTTTAACCATACATTGCAATAAATGTGTTCTAGATTTTAAACCGACTGACCTTTGACCTTTAGGTTGGTTGGTTAGTAAGCTACTGTGCATTGAGAGGCAGATCTACTGTAGGCAGTGTGTGTTAGAGTTGGGCAATTAATTGCAGCTGCAGTATAATTGAATTTTAACAAATGCATTTTTTGAATCCTACAGGTTGTGACTTTTGGTCACCTTACATTTAATAAGAGTAAGACACTGACTTTCTTACTCCAGCTATGGCATAAATACGCTTAAAGTGGGTTTGTCAGAAGGACAAGCCTGCCACATCTTTGGCCACAAATTTTATTGTTTTTTAAAGATGCTTGCAAGGAAATTGGAGCTTTATTGACAAGTTTCATAAACTATTTTCCTATTATTAGTTTCTTTCAATGATCCACTCCAGTATTGGGAAGTACCCCAACCAGCCATTCCTTCTAACTGGTTATGCCACTTGCGCAGTTTCTCTGATGTTTGTCCAGCTGCTATACGTAAGGCGGACTGCGCTGCAGGTGGAGACAGGAAAATACAGAACCTGAATCTTCCTCTTCTCACATGGTCAGGCAGCAGCTTCATCACTTTAACCGGAAGGGTACATCGGCTCACAAGCCGCAGGAACAGCTTTAGATCTAACAGAACTTTAGATCGTCAACATTGCAGCGGTGGCAGTGAATTAATAAACAATCCTACTTTACTGCTTAAGAAAGATTTGACCAGAACATTTTGTGGTTTAACCCTTTGATGCCTGTTGTTCCTAATAAGCAACAAACCACTTGTGCTACACTGCAAAAAATTAGAATCCAAGTAAGTCAATTTTTCTTAAAATAAGAGCATTTTTTTCTTGAATTGAGCAGATAAATGAACTCTTTGCCAATTGAAACAAGACAATGTACATTGAAAATAAGAAAAAAAACAACAACTGCAGTCTCTTTTTTCAAGTGCATTTTATCTAATTATCTTATTTAAGGGTAAAAATGCTAATTCCATTGGCAGATCATCTTATTTTCCTAGTCATATTAAGAATAAATAAACTTATTTTAAGACATTTTTACTCATTTTCAGAACATTTTTGCAGTGTAGGCAAACAGCTGCCACAGAGTTTTTGCATCACCCCAGTGCGAGTCACTGTGTATGTTATTATGTAGTTATAACTGCTGTTACAAAATATATTTTCATTTCCATTTGTTTAGTAACATTAACTATTTTAATTTGGTTTCTCATTGAAGGGGAAAAACACGCACAAAATGTATTTTTATATGTACTTATTTATCAATTCAGCTTCAAGGCAGTAATTCAAACATGTTACACAAGTAGAAATGTACAAATGGGATCAATTACAACTGGAGCAGGTATGGAAAGCCAAATGTGTTGCATATTTCATAAATTAAAAAGTGGAAAGATCTTTATTTGTAAATGTAAACATTTAAATGTTACTTCAGATGCATGCAATAAATACATAAGTATAGTTTTTTATCCTTAATGAATAAAGAATTAGATATTCTTCACTTATTTAATTAACTATTAGTTTCTTTTGCTTCCAGAAAAGGTTATTTAAAAAATTTAAAATTTTAGGCAAGACCTCATTCAAAGATTCATCAATCAAGACTATACAAAGTATGAAGTGAAGGGCCCCCACTCGTCAGTTCTTTAGGTTTTGTCAAGGCTGTCAGCTGACCTGTCTGGTAATAATAAAATAATATCTTAGGCATACATGCAAATCACTATGTGTGGTGGAAAAGTGATACTGCACATCAGTCAGAAAACAGAATTCCCCACTTTGGAAATGTGGGAAGATCAAGATATCATTGGAAAAGGGAAGTTGGTGAGAGTTGATGAGATATAAAATGGAGTTTAAGGTGCTTTCGTTTTATACATTCTAATATATGTATAGGAAAATAGCACAGTTAAAATACTGTTAAAAAAAATTATTTGCAACTGAAATGAGTGGTGATCAGAAATGCGGTTAAGGTCTCCTTAACGAAAGCACTTTCAGACTACTAGATTTAGAATGTATTTTTATGTAATGAGGATCAATGATAAAACATAAAATGCTCGCTGTTTGAAGAAACCGTTAAAAGTGTATTAAAGTACAGTTTCTATGCTATGTCCATCCCTTATTCAAAAAAAATTTTGAAAAAAAAAGAGAGAGACTTAGACAGGTAACTGACAGGTAAACAGGCCGCATTCATTTGGCCGGCCCACCTGTCCCCAGTCAGTTTTATAGCTCTGTTTGAGACAACGTTTATCTTGTTCACTAGAGAAAAGTGGTGCAAACTGATCCGTGAATTGATCAGTGAACTGATCAGTGAACCTTCCACTGTTTTACCATATTAATGTTATTTTTGCTCAGCCTGCCATCTATCTGAACTGTTTTTAACTGGCATTGGTACAGTTAAGGATCCCCATTTTCCCTTTCATCTTTACTTCTGGTCGGGTTTGGACTGTCAAATTTTAACAAAGACATATTCCTTTTTTGAGTCATAATTGTCTTTTATTGCTTCCTTAGTCACAGTGAAATACTTTTCAGTTTCTTTTTTTGTGAAAAAGGATGCCACAGGCATTTTAAAACTAAGCAATACTAAAATCTAACTTATTAGGTGCTGCAAAAGCTATAGTATGTCCATCTATCCACAATATGTAGTGCCAATAAATATCTACATGACTATACATTTTTTAGGAAAACACTGAAAAGCAGTGCTTCAAAAGAGCAATATCTGGGGAATTTGGTTTGGGAATAATAATAATTAAGGAAAAAAAATCTAATTAGGAATTGAATTGCACAGATTGCATAGTTTATTGCATTTTCACTAATTTTATGCAGAACAATCACATTTTCAATAATCATGGTCATCAAGTTGTTGATACATCACTAATCAAAGAATACAAATCCAATTTGAAATTTGTATGACTCAGAGTTTAATTGTTGCTTAATATTTACTGATCTTTTTTTTTTATTTTGTACCTTATGTAAGTCTGGCAAATTAAATCATGCTTTCAATAAAAAATTACCTATACTTTAAAAGGGCCACTTTTCCACTTTATAAAGGTTTTACAAATATGGAAGTAAGCAGGTAAATAAATTGGAAAGTAATGGCATTTATAAATACCTATACTGATGCAGTTTCAACGGACTATTCAGGTCATCAGACATTATTATTCTTTAATAGCTCATATTAATATATAATGTTTGCTTATATCTCTATTATCTACAGGCAGAGATATAAATTGATCATTGCTGTCTGATGAGGGAATGATTTATTGATCAGTTAATATTTATAGATGGATGGGTTGTGGTCATTTTCATCGAGATCGATGGCAAACAAAAAAGGAGAGAGAAAACAGCTGTGAATGCTGTTGAAGGAGTCAATATCACAGCAGAGAAAAACTGCAAAGAAGGATTTCACAGAATTAGTTTCACAGATGCCCAATAATGGCTTGAGTCAGTTTATTGCATTTTAGCATACAGCTGATCCATACGAAGGTGCAGATTTATTTTTTCCTTTTTTTTTTCCCATATAGGCAGAGCTCATGTTTGGAGGCTGCATTTTTGTCATCCCTCATGTCATGAGAATCATTTCAATACAGCTATTTGCACACTCCTGCCTATGTGTTCCTCTCTGACTCTGCTTCTCCCCTTTTTGTGTCTTCCAGGTATTTATGAGCAGACATTTCTTATACAACTGCAGCCAACCAGTCCTGGATGTAAAGATAGCTTTTTGTCAGGTGTGTGTTCCTTACAGGTAAAAAAGGTACAGTATTCATTCCCTTCCGTTTTCCCTTATTTGCTACATGTGTTTTACTGTCTTTTTGTTTGGTTTCTATGTTGTTTGGTGCAAACAGACTCATTTAATGTAAAAAATAGAAACATATGTGATGGACTGAATCCCTATATATTTCCTATAGGGATTCAAAGAGAATAACGAGCTTTTATTTAGCCTCATCTTGACAATTACAACTGTACAAAACTATTTCAGTCTCGATCGAATTTCATACTGAATTTTAACACCTCCAGTGTTTATCCGTAGCTGAGGCATTTGGCTAAAGTGGGGCTTAATTTCTAGCCTCCCATTGAGCTTTCATAGCTTAAATGTCAAACTCATTTCTAAAATGCATAATCCATACATCCAGTATGTGTGGGAGGGCAGCAACTGACTCTAGATTAAGTTTCTCTGGCGCTTTTCAGGCTTCGTTAGATTGCATCTAATCTACGATTTTAAAACCACCGTTGGTACTTCTGTTTAATGAAAGGTTACAGCTAGATGTTAAAACAATACGATCATGGGTTTGGGACATTCCTGCCATTATAGGACTTACACAGTAGTACCAAGCAGAGCTGTGGCCTAATTACAGTATGTAATTAATGTAATTATTATTTTGCTGCACCACTATTTCTGTGCCTGTGTTGCGTAAGTAATTAAAGCTTGACTAGTGTGTGCACAATGATGTAATAAAGTCTATCTGAGATACGCAATTAGTGGCACTGATGTAATAATATAGCTAGTATATGTTTTTGCCTGTTCTGCTATGCTTTTGTTGCTTTGAAGGGTAAGAAGAACATGTAATATTAATTTTGAGCAAACTTACATGTTGATTTGAAAAAAAAATGTTTTCTTAAAAAATCACTGGATTTCTTTTATTTACGTATGCACTTTTTTGTGTTTACATATTTCAAATCCTCTAACAAGTGTTAACTGTCAAGGATTATCCAAGACAAATGGAAGGCTGTTTTCAATTTATAATTTTATTTTTTCAGTGTAAAACTCTGTCCAAACCGACTTGGTTGAACTAAGAACATATTCAACCAAATTGTAATAAATACTTCAAAGGGTCAGGATTTTTGGCAGTTTTTTCTTTGCAGAACTGTTTTAATTCAGACATATTAGAGGATTTCTTAGTAAGCATGATGGACTGGTTAAAGTCAGATTTAGGTCTGGAGTTACAGTAAATTAGGTCTGTCTTAAACCAGCTGTTGATTTTTGAACCATTTAGAGTTGGACTTGCTGCTTTGCTTTGGATCATTTTTTCGCTACATGAATACATGCTGTGAAATTATGCTCTTTACATATTCTGGTGCAGCATATGACAAAAAGAAGAGTAGAAAAAATAAATAGATGTTACTGAGACAGTTTAAGATACAGTCTTATACTACAAAATTTAAAAGTATAATGGAGGATGTTCGTTTTCCGGGTGGATCATCAAATTAAGTGGTCCTCCTAATTGTAAATCATTCTGGTGATATGTTTACGTAAGGCCATTCTTCATGCTCGTGGTGGTGGTGAGTCTGACATAGTGGAAAAATTGCAAATCTTCTCTTGGAAAGTAAGCAATGGAAACAGCAATAGAAACAGCAACTTGTAAACAGAGCGTGCACGAGGAGAAACATGCTTGTCCATGCTCTTGCACACGTTTAATAGGTGTTCCCTCTCCGAAGCGGGTAAAGGGTTGTGCATGTTAATACATTTTTTTTTTTTTCGGAGTGGATAGGGCAGACCCTTACAAAAATCTGCAAAACATTCTCCTCTTTACCTTTAAGAAAAATTCATAAAAATAATTTTTTTTCAAATAAGTCCCCATTGTTGTCATTTTACTAAACCTACTAAAAACAGTATATGCCATACTTTACTTCTAAGTTGTAGATAGTGTATGTCGCATATGTATGTTTAAAATGACGAAACTGGCAAAAATGACCCATTCTTTACTTAACATAAGACCAAAAATATTTATTATTATTTTGGTTGAATAACTGTATTGGAGGAGCTTAAATGTTCATCATCTGAATGATATTAAACATTACATGAAGAAAATATGCTGCAGACATTAAAATGATAGTAAACCTATCAGCAGAGAAAGGAACCTCAGCAATATATCTGAAAATGGAGCAATAAATTGGCAGTCAGAGCTTAGAGCTGAATCTTTCAAGGGGATTTAAAATTTACCATATGAAGGAAGACCATGAAACATCTGAAATGCTTAAAATGTGTTTTATTGCTTGTAATCAGAAATATATAGTAAAATGTAACATACCTGTTGAAATAGTTCATTTTTCAAATATTAAAACAATATCTATGTTATTTCTATGTGATGTATTATTTGATTGTATTTAATTGCCTTGAATGCATTAATTATGTTGTTCTGTTAAAAATGTTAGCCGCTGCTTTCTCTTCCATGAAGAGTAACTCCTCTCTTGTGCTGCGTTTGCCTCACACAGGGTTTTGGAAAACAAGTGGATGTGTCATATATCGCCAAACATTACAACATGAGCAAAAGCAAAGTGGACAACCAGTTCTACAGTGTGGAAGTGGGAGACTCTACCTTCACAGTTCTAAAGCGTTACCAGAATTTGAAGCCCATTGGTTCCGGAGCTCAGGGAATCGTCTGGTAAGTTCGCAGCTGTGCCAAATTTTTTTATATCCTAGTTTAAATAGCATGAAGCTGTTTGATGAGGCTATCTGTATTTAATGATTGGGTTGGCTCATTTTTAAAGTTTATCTCAGTTTTCAGCAGGTGATTAAATCAACAAATTAGGGTGAATTTGAGGGAGCCAGTATTTAGGAACCCTGCCTCAGGCATTATTTTATGGAAATAGGATAAGAACAAGCTCTTTAGCTGCATTTATTAGTAATTCAGAAAAGCCTTTTAATGTTGAGCATATTAAACAATTTCCAAGAGTTTTAGACATCTGGTAAAACCAGAATGCTTCTTGATTAAATTCATGTTCATTAATGCTTTTAAATATAAGAAAAACAAACTTCTGCCATCTTCTGACGATTATTTATACTTATTTATATTATACTTATTTAATACAAGAGAAAAAAAAACAAGTGTTTATCACATCACGTTGGTGAAATATTTATCTTAAGTGATAAGATGCAGATGCATTTTATAAAACAAATATTACTCAGTTAAAATGAAAGTGTGTTTATTTTCTTAAAAGTCTTAAAAGTTTGACATTTTTGATAAATTTTTTTTCAAACATTTTACCTTTGATGTAGAAAGATTAAAAATAAATTCTTTTAGGCGAAACATAAAACATGGACAGCATTTTTGTTCTAATTTTTATCTTAGGTGTAGGATGTGAGCTTATAGCGTTTCTTCTATTTTCTCTGCGGATAAATGGACCTAGGGTCTAACATAAATTTCTCCTTATGAATCCTTAATCCAGATTGCAGAGGAAGCCTGATTTCATTATAATTCACCTCACGCCTTCTCTGCAAGAATGCAGTGCAACGGCTGCCAAGGCTCCACTTAAAGAAATGCCTCTCACCGTCTCTGTCGACACACCAAACACTTTAATAACTTATGTCCATCTTAATGTTGTGTCACTGGGATAAAATACAACCTCTCAGAAACATCCACACAGATGATCCAGGGTGACGTATCAGCACTTTTGCCCTCCACATGCCCTCTTTTACCCCATGTCTTGCTTCCTCGACCCTAGTCCCCCTCTTCCAGAGCCATTATTTTGAATTTACATTTGATGCAAATCCTGAGATGTTGCACATTTTTGAGGATGTTTTAGAGACGGATGGCACGGGGAGTATATGGAACTGAACCTGTCCCACAGCTGTCATCTGGTGTAATCTGGTGGTAATAATCAAGTCCCAGGGACTGATTTGAAAGATCAAGCAAGAAACGTTTCTTATTCAGATGTTTTCAGATTCAGTGATGTATTTTCTGAAAGGTATCAGCATTTGTTTATGTATAACATTGAATAGTTTCTCAATCCAATAGAGAATAAACATTAAAAATCCTTTTTTTATTCAACTTTAGTCCAATCCTTAGATGGATGACATAATCACATTTACATAAACATCTGTCTGACTCACTTCCAACAGCTAGCATCAAACAAGCAATGTGCTCACCAGCAGACGGATCTAAAGATTATCTCTGAGTCTGCAAGGGCGCACTGTGCTTTGCTTATGCAATCGGGCAATTTCCCAGAGAATAGCCAGAGAACATGCAAATGAGACAAGTTAAGAGTCATTCTGCTAATATTGTTGCCCGTAAACATAGCAGGCTGAACAAACACTAATGTAGAGATGTCCTGTTCCCTGATATCAGCTTTATTTTGACTAATGGGATTGTGTACATATACTAGAGTTTAATTAAGAATGTCTTATTTCTGTATGTTTTTATGCAGAGCTGTTTTTTTTAAATCATTAAACTAACACTAAGAAGTTTACTCGTTATTTTGACACATTGAGAGTTCAACTTGCAACATATGTCATTACAGTTCTGGTTAATCAGTTGGGGAAAATACTTAGAGGAAAATGATATTCCTTAGCATAGAAACTAAGATTTCTGGATTAGCTGCTCTCTTCACAGCACACAGATCTCTGTCTGAATGTAGTTTTCATACTGTTGGCAGCTGCACCTTACTATTTTTTCTCAAATAAAGCTTTTATAGTCTAATCTTATCATGTTTACTCTGTGTTTTAATGCAAATAAATGAATATTCAGATTCTTGTATCTGCATATTCTTGCATATTTGTGCTGACAAAATAAAAATAACCTACTCTTCATAAATGTATTTATTTTTAATTCAAACTTCACAAAATTGAGTGAATGTTGTTTAAGCCGCTTTTGCGTTGAGCAAAGCCTAACAAAAAAGTTTTTCTATTCTTTCTATGATTATCAACAGGTACAAAAATACATTTAGAGGGAAATCTAGGTGGATTAACAAAATAATGTGAATGTATATAACACAGAAAATATACAATTTAGTTATCATATACATATAATATGATTATTTAAATATTTTAGAGCTTTCCTATAGGGATCTTAAAGATTGATCAAGGCTTTTAGTAGTTTAGTTGGTCATGACATCACCTTTCACTCATCTAAAAAGTGATGACGGCTAAAATCCTTATTGGATAAATGCTTTTATCAATCTATGATATACATCCTCTACAGAGACATAAAAAACTCCACACCACTTTACAGTCAGCATTTTCTGTAAAGCATAAAATTCCACAAAAGTCCCTTTACCATCAAAGGGATACTATAGAGAAAAAAATATACTGAATATTATATGACATTTTTATGCTTTATTTTTCTCGACTCCTATTCTCTGAAAGTCAACATAACGGGCTGCAAGAAGCTCTAATATAAAAGGTCTCTGGAGGGGGAGAGTTGCACTAAGCTAGCAAAGCAAAATTAATTCCAGCATTACACACCTTTTCCAGCTGGTACCAATGTTTTTCTCAAACAGGTTTTTTTTTACTAAATCAGTTAGATTAAGATTTTTTTGTCCATTAGATATGAAAAGCAGGACAAATGTTTTTAGACCTAAAGTGACAATTTGTTATAGGTATGATATAAAAAATAAAAGGAATTAATCAGAATATAAACCTTTTCTGTGTTGCTTTTGCGCTCACCAGTTTTTTATACTGCCTGTCATTTCTCATTTGTATTTAAATAGTGTTTATTTTTTATTCTTCATTAGGTTTTCTTTTGTTATCCTCCCAGTCCCTGTAATTGCATGTGTTCAGTGACTTCATCCTTTCTTTTGTTAAAATAATCTTTTCTCACCATGCATTTGCCAATTTAGTCCAGAAACTAGTACTAAAAATAAATAAGTGTAGAAAAGGATGAATAGTTGAGCTCAAGATGCTGCTCATTGCTGTATTTCTAATTGTTAGTTTCCTAATGGAAACAAATTTGGAAAAAACTGTAATTTTCAGTCCCATCTTCTTCACAGTCCTGTTGAAAAAAAAATGATATGAGAAATAAAATTCTCAACTTTATATTTTATATTAATGTAGTCCTGGCATATCTTGTAGTAGGCAGGGATGCTAGCTTTTGAGTGGAAACTAGAGATAAATATGACATAACCTACTGATACTATTGCAGTGGGGGCTGTGTTTAGCCCTGTCCTCTTTACACTCTTCATCTACTGACTTTGCTGCAACATGTTTGCATATCATTATCATTTAGCAAATAGAAATATTGCTGTTGTCCTATTTGCTCTAAACAGACAAAGTTAAGTCTGATTTAATGTCAGAAATGTCAAAGCAGGATCTAGATATCTTATTCAACTTATATCTACAGAAATTGGTTTCCTCTACATAAACAAACTTTATCATACAAAGAATTTTCGATTTATTTATGAGATCACAGACTGTCACTGCAAATCCCAATTAGCGTGGAAACACATACGCACCCAGATAACAACCTAGCTATGAATGCTGAAGGAATACTGATGATTATGTGCGCTCTATCTCTCCCTCTTACTCTTTCTCTGCAGTGCGGGCTATGATGCTGTCCTGGACAGGAATGTAGCCATAAAGAAGCTGAGCAGACCCTTCCAGAATCAGACCCATGCCAAGAGGGCATACAGGGAGTTGGTGCTCATGAAATGTGTCAATCACAAAAATGTAAGTTGTTTTTTTTTTTTCTGAAGAAAGACAATAAAATACAACTGCTGTCAGCAGGATTCTATTTTTGGCCAAATCTCCCTGGAACAATGTCTACACTAGCCCCCATGTAATGTTGTGACCATGCATCTGTTAGCCTGCAGAAGTGCAGCAAAGTGGCGAGAGTGAGAAAAGAGAGCACTTGGAGGAATAAGAGTAATCCCCACTGCTGTACTTTGTTTTCGTCTCTCTGTGTCCCATCATATTATCCTCTTCGCTTGGCTCCATCCCACCTCTTCAGTCCATTTTGTTTTCTTAAACCAGTTCTTCATAGCAGTCATAGCGTATAACATTCAGTCAATTTCAATCAATTAGTTTTTCTCTTTTTGATTAACAGCATAATAATTAACTAAATGCACTTTCTCTCTTACAGATAATCAGTTTATTAAATGTCTTCACACCACAGAAATCGTTAGAGGAATTCCAAGATGTGTGAGTTTTTTTTGTAATCTTTGTTTTGATAAAAAAAAAAAAAAAAATATGTGTGTTTTTATAATAAATTGTTAGCCCAGTATGTTTTCATTCAGGAGTAGTACTTGAGGTGTTACCTAAAGCTGATTCAAGCTGTCACACTAAATCATAAATGAGAGCATTTGCTTTTAGCACAGTCTCCCCCAGCCCTGCCCTGCTTGTTTTTTTTATTTTTAATGCAGACATTTTTAAAACGAAGAAGGAGGGTTAACCCATCAAATGCATCACTTTCTGACCCGACACCTTTCATTTTCTCAGGTACCTTGTGATGGAACTTATGGATGCCAACTTGTGCCAGGTGATTCAGATGGAGCTCGACCACGAGAGAATGTCCTATCTGCTCTACCAGATGCTGTGTGGTATCAAACATCTGCACTCAGCCGGCATTATTCACAGGGTAAGAGGAGACAATCAGCTGTTCCTTTCTCCTCTACTTGTTTAATTTGAAAGTCCTACAGCCTGCAGTTTGCTTGGTCAATACTTTGGCTGGGATCATAGTGTTAGGAATATGAGAGGCTATTTGCTGTTCAAAGATCAGACACTACAAATGAGATTAGTAGAATATCAAATGGGATGCAGGGTTTCCAGTGTATGCTTCTGCATCTGTATGAAGCATCACTATGCTAACTAAACTTTAGCAAAGTTATGAAGCTCATGTTGGTTAAGTGAAGGATTTTAAGATAAAAAGTGATCAACTATGAAGCATAGACAAGATATTTGGTCAGAGAGGAGATACTAAAAGATTAAAAGCATATTTTGTTACGTAAAAACTTTGTTTTAATGTTGGACTGTTTTAAAACCTATTAGTCTTATCATGGATTAGTATTTACCATTTACCTTATTGTGAAAAGCAGTTAAACAGTAAAGATAAGGGCATTTGCTTAAAAAGATAGTCAATTATGTATTGCTAAGTTTTAAATAACTTCTAAAAGGCTCCTCCTGATGTTAGAAGATCAAGCAGGACCTTATAGCAGCGGTTTTCAACCCTGCTGCATGTTTTAGGTGTCTCCTTGCTTCCACACACATGACTGATCACCAGGGCTCAATCCTAATACAGCAAGTTAGGACTCTTAACCCAGAGCAGGAGTGCATCAGTGGTCCCCATGATAAGTGCTGTCCGAACAGTGCTGGTAGTAAGGAAGGGGTTAGGAAAAAGAGGCTTTATGCTTTATATCATAGTATAGGACCTTCCTATCTTGCACTTGGGAACTATGGGGATAGTGTTGGCCTAGTGGGTTAGAGCAGTGTGCTTCTGCTCTGAGAAGGTTGCAGTACCCGGTTTGAATCCCGCTCTGGGTTCCTGAGCAAGATCCTTAACCCCCGATTGCTCCCCAGGGCGTGCACAATGGCCGCCCACTGCTCCCCAAGGGGATGGGTTAAATGCAGAGGTAAATTTCTCCAATATGAGATCAATAAAGTTCAGTTATTATTATAAGGAATCCCAAAATGTTTTGCAGGGTGTATAGGCACAGCCCACCTCATGGCATTTAACAGAAATACATTATTTCATTCTATGTACTCTGTGTGCAAATGATGCATCAAGGTCTAGTCCCAATTTTACGCACACCATCCATGTGCCTTTCTGTCCTGTAATGATGTCCATGAGGTTAAAGGCTGTCTGGATTTGGCACAGCAGTCTGAAGTTACTTTCCAACCCTGAACGATGTTGTTGGGCTGAGGTACCCAAAAACAAAAATAACCAAAGCTCCAAAGCAGGTCTGACAATACACCGTGACTCATGATAGGTGGGGGAACCTGCCATTTGCCCTCTTCTGCATCCTGCTCACTGCTTTGAAGACAAACCTCAACTGTAGCACATTGTGCTTGGAAACATGCTGTTGTGCTGCATTCTGGATGGGGAAGCTGTAAGACCATTTTCTAATCATTCCTTTGAAGGAGAAGTTTGTTTGGGGTTGAAATCAGCATGAACAGATTATCTGCAACTTCCCAACTCATTTTCTGTTTTAGGGCCCTTGAACAAAAACTGTCACCGTCATTTCTAAGTAGAGCAGAGATCCGAGGGGATGCACCGTTCCTCCTCCTTTCCTGAGTCGAAAGACTGAGGAGAGCCCAGTTATCTTGGCGCAAACTTACTGACTCTGAGGTTTTCTTCATTTCTGGACCCTGTGTTGGCTAACTTACCACACAGCTAGCTGCTTGCTTGAAGCCTTTTGTCTTCTTCGGGACTCCTCCCCACCCTCTCGGCCATAACCGCACGTGTTGCAGGGTCTAGTGCATCCTGCACCTGAAGCCGGGTTTTTCCATAGTTTGCTAAAACCCAAAATCACCTCAAAGCTCTGTGTATTTTATATCTGCTGCTGATTGAACTGATGATTATTTGAGGCTAAAATTAAGCTGAAGATTGATTGATTGTTTAATTGTCTAGGAACCGCTGCTGTCCATCATTCTTATTGATTCTCCTTTTTTATTCTTCTGGTAGTTTTACAGTGTTCTAGTCAGTAGTATTGAACAGAATAATTGGTGGTGACAGGGAGGTATCTCATCAAAGATAAAGTGGAAGTGTATTTTCTTCTTTTATATAAGTGATCTGCTGTCTCTAGAATCTCATGTGTTTTGAGATATAACTTAAATATGCAGGGTAGCATTAGAGGACTGGTAGACCTGATCAAACAAAGAATTTTAAAGTACTGTAACCTAGTAAAACAGATATAACCAAGAAATAAAATAATACAATACAATATCACAACTGTAAACTTGCACTAAAAAAGCTCTGAAATAAAAAGTGTGAGACTATTACTAGATTTAAAAGCAACTCTTGTCATAAGAGTGGGATTTAGTGTTTAGTGAAAGAGCCATGAGACTCTTCGTTCGGCAATCTCTTGTGAACAGCCTATTTGCAGAGTCTCCATGGCAACTACCTGCTGTATGAGCCTTTTTATTGGAGGTAGTCCCCGCCATATTAACACTGGGTTTTAGCTCAGACTTCCACCAATTACCCAGCAGAGATGTTTCCTTGGGGATGCTCCCCCTCAGCAGCATCATTTTAGCATAATTTATGATCGCAAAACTGTTTTCCCTCTCTCCAGGATCTGAAACCAAGCAATATAGTAGTGAAGTCTGACTGCACCCTGAAGATCCTGGACTTCGGTCTGGCTAGAACCGCAGGCACGAGTTTCATGATGACCCCGTATGTTGTGACACGATACTACAGAGCCCCAGAGGTCATCCTGGGAATGGGATACAAAGAAAATGGTGAGATTCGCTAATGATTATGTTTGGAGAATCACAGATCCCTACAAGAATGCTCCAAATGAAAGTTTAGAGGGCCTAGCACTTTCAGCTGAGCCGTGTTTATCCTGTGGTAGAAACTGAGTGTCGCAAAGGAAACAACTTGATTCTGGTTGAATTGCACTAGAGCTGAAGTGCTGGAGCAGTGAGTCATTAATTAAAGCCTCCAGAACATCAAGACACATGACTGAATGCCAGCTTTGCTCTGATTCATTAGTCAGACTTCTAACATAAAATGACAGCCTGTCATCCAGTTTCCTTTAGATAATCAATTCTTCAAATGCTCTGCTTTCCTTTTCTCTTATTCCCTCAGCTTTTTTTTTTTATGGATGAATATGACTCATAACTTGCCTCTCTCACCTATTGAATAATCTGATAATCACTAATTCTCACTGTAGATTCATCTAACCTTTGCTACTCCCTCTTTCCTTTTTGCTCTCCTCTCTGCGTGCCACCTTCACCTCTTTGCGTGCAGTGGACATTTGGTCGGTGGGGTGCATCATGGGAGAAATGGTGCGCCACAAAATCCTTTTCCCTGGGCGGGACTGTATCCTTGCTAATATACACTCAGATTGCATGATGGTAATCCAATAAAGTCATTTCAACCCACAAAATTTGCTATTAAACTGCTTATTAGGCTTTATAGTGCATTGGCCTCATTTTGTAATACTAGACTGGATCGAAAGCATGCAGTCAATACTAAATAAGATAATTTAAGGGTGAATATGCCAAAAATAATTATGTAAAAGTAAAATCCAGTTCTTTTGATGATTTCCATGAATACATACTGATACATTAAGGTAATTGCATAGTCTTGCTAGTAAGGTAAAGTAGAATACGATTGAAATTAATTTACTGTCTCAATGTGGGGACATTTGGAAATAAGAGGAGTGCTTACAAAGAATCTGATTTCAATTTATATATATTAAAAAACAATCTATCCTTTATATTTATCTTAACATATATCTTAAAATATATTGAGGTCTGTGGTTGTGAGGCTGGCAAATCTACAGCAGGCTATTTTAAAAGTCACTGCATCTTAATCAATATAAAATATAATGTACATTTTGCTTATTAATTGACATTGAAAGAGTGTTTTTTTTTTGACCTGCAGACCTGATTTTGCTGTGTGCTACAGAGGTAAACTAAACCACTCTCACGTTTCACTGACATGAAAACCCTGTACTTTGTAGGTCCAACATTTCTTTTAGCAGCATTTCCTATTTGTGTTTGTTGGCTTTTACTTACACTTTTTTCTGGCAAAAACACATCCCTTTGCTTGTCTCTGAGTATCTAAAAGTGCCCTCCTAGTTTTAGTACACTATTTATTAGGGTGTAGTTGCAGTGAGGAGATATAATTGAATCTCTGATATGAATGTTGGTATTTTTGCTAAATAGTCCTCCTTTTTTTCCCTTCCAAGGAAAAGTATGAACATGAAGGACATCTTGACACTAGAGAGTGTCTAAATGTTAGAGCGAAAATTGACACAAATACAGAGAAGCATTATTACATGATTGCAATATTTTTTCAGAGAAAGGGTCAGGCTTCCTTATAACTGCAATTGTAGAAATGAATAATGTTTTATGGCTGAGTGTAATGGAAAAAGCTACAGTTTATGATGGCTTACAAGAGTATTTACAAAGTCAGGTTTTTCAGGTTTCACATAAATCTTTGCCCTTTTTATCCTTTAAAAAAAAAAACTTTAGTAGTACCTTTTTCAGAGGATTGTGTATGAAGTTTATTATCAATATTATTTCCTTTAAAATGTTTTTTTTCACTGGCATCAAAAGTACCCAGCTCTATGGCTTAGATAGTCCCCGCTCTTTTACAAACAAACTTAAACCACCAGATTCACAGAATTTCCTCATTTAAATATGGTGTTCCCAACCAGTTTTGCACTTATTATCCTTTGGGCACACACATTTTTAGATCAAACCCACCAATTGCTCATGCAATTAAGTGGATATGGTTCATTTGGCTATATGTAACCTCTACACCGTTATCTAAAATATATGCTCCTAACATTTAGAGAGCTATCTGATTGAATACAGCCAAAAGAAGAACTGCTCTACAAAGATGCAGCATGCAGGGACTTGAATGCAGTCTTCCTCTTTGTAAAGAGCTGTTTGAGATTAAAACCAATCAGTCAACAAACCTTTAAAGGATTTCACATTTCCACACACAAAACATGCGGATGTGCTGCAGGCAAAGCTTTATTCACTTATTTTTGTATGATATTTTGAAAACAGAATAACAGATCACTTTTTTTTTATTTAAATTTGGAATTAAAAGTAGTTAAATGGCCAAAAGTGAGTGATGAGACACCAGGTGTCTGTGGGAGTACCTCTCTGCAGCCTCTGGAAGATTAATGGCCTGGACTGTTAGAAAACCCTGCAATGAGCTCAGCAACTTTACTGAAATTGCTGTCATCTTATATCTACCCTCTTCCCTCATCATTTTTTTTTTACTGCAAATCTTTATGTGCTTGGATTAAATTTTGTTTAATCTTTAACTTCTTAGGCGACGGTGATGCAGTACCTTATGTTTAACACATTTAGAGCGAAATCATTGAAGTTTGAGTCGACACCTTCCTTTGTTTAAGAGATGATGATTGAGAGCAGCAATCTCCCCACTCTGGCAGGTCATGAGTCTATAGACCACAAGGTTAGTGGTTATTTGAGGATAGATTATTGCAGCAGGAGATTGAATGTTAAAAGGAATCTGAAGGTTATTTTTACAGGTAGATTGTTTAATGGCAGACATACTGTGTATGAAGCTCAATGACTTATGCTCGATGACTCATTATTTTATGCTCTGCATCCTGTTTGCAATTTAGATTTTCTTTAATGTGATTTTGAAATTGCCTGCAAAGGTCAATGAGTCTGTAAGCATCATCATCACACTCAGCCAATCATCAGTCTCTACTGCTGACAGCTTTTAGCTTTCAATTTCTTTTTCTTTATTACTGAAAACCATGAAGCGCTCTCTCTGAAAGTAAAGAAAAATATCAAAACAAAAAGAATAGGTTAACAACCTCAATGGATTATTTATTTCATCTCGGTCAGGAACGCATGACTTATATGTTTGTGTGACACCAGTGGACATGTGGTCAGTGGGCTGCATCTTTGGAGAGCTGATAAGGGGGACAGTGCTGTTCCCTGGAAGTGACCGTATCCTTCCACCCTCAGAGACCACCTCACTCTGATTCATACTTTGCTGTATGAATGCTCTGTATGATGCATCTTCAACACTGTGGATGTGATGCGCTGAGGAAAAAGCACCCCAGGCTGTTTGATGATTCCAACCTCTAGAAGAAAAGATAAAAAAGCATAGGAGGTGGAGAAAGAGTTCCAGGTATGAGAAACAAAGTAGCAGAGATCTACAGTAGTAGCCATTCAAAATGTCCCCTTATTCCTTGATTGATCCTTGGCTGGTCCTCTGCAATTTCTTTTTAAACATCAATCTTTGTACTAAAATATTATTTCTGTAATGATTTGTGAACATTAAGATCTAAAGAGAAGCATCATCTCCTGGTCAGACCCTGTAATTCAGTGAAAGGGTGGAGTCACAGTAAAAAAAAAAAGCATGCCCAGGCCATTCTGCTGTCGCTTGACTGGACTGTTACTGTAGGGTGCCTTGGTCATTACAAACATGAATGGAAAGAAGCAACATATCGGTTGGTAAAATGAAAGAGTGTTGATACAAGGTGTGACCAATAAGTGTTTCAACAGGAAGTTTTTTCTCTTGTTTCCTTTTACATACCTAAGCTGCTAAATTTCCTTCCAAAAGATGGGGTTTTAGGAAGCTCATATCATAAAAAAACAAAACAAAAAAAACCCAACAACTTTCTATGACATTTCTGGATGATATGATCCTACATATTCCAGGTGTGTTTCCTTTATCCTTGACCTGCCACGCCAGACATTGACCAGTGGAACAAGGTGATAGAGCAGCTGGGCACGCCCTCTCCGGAGTTCATGAAAAAGCTGCAGCCCACGGTGAGGAACTACGTGGAGAACCGGCCAAAGTACGCAGGCCTCACCTTCCCCAAGCTATTCCCAGACTGCCTTTTCCCTGCTGACTCTGAGCACAACAAACTCAAAGGTGAGAGGCAATGTTCAAACATGGCACAATGCTCAAGGGGCACCTCTTAATGAAACAGACTGAAAGCCTTTATAATCCCTTCCCTTATTGATTTATTTTGACATAATTATGTGGTGAGTAATTATGTGGAGTAATAAAAGGCATCTACTCAGATGATGCATCTTTGGCAGCAAAGGTGTTCTGGATAAAAGCAGCAGTGAAACAATGCAGGAGGGTTTTTTTGTTTTGTTTTTTAATACTGGTGTGTTTTTTGAATATTCTATATTTTACACAACATCCGCACTTTTTGGGTTAGAGGTTAGAGATTTGCCGAGAGGCAGAAAGTTACTGGTACATTTCCAGATAAACCCAAACATTATATCCCAACAGATGTATCTGTAAACTATTTTTTTCACATTGTAATTAATCAGTTACTGCATTGAAAAACATAAAATCTGAATGCAAAGAAGTATTCAACTTTTTTTTAATACAAAAAGGAAGTTTTGTTCAACACATAAAAAAAAAACAATCCCAGAATTCTCTATCCCATGTAGATGGGTAAAATCCTTACCTTTTAGCTTCCTTATTAAAACTAAGAGCTCTGAACTCCCATTTGACTTCACTTCTACAAATGATCAACTTCTGCATCATCTTTTGCTCTCCCACCTGAGAAAGGAGGAGACGGAGCGCCCATTTCACAAGATATGTACCTATGTTCCTACTTCTAAGCTCTTGAGTTGTTAAACACTTATGAATAGTATTTCAGCTGCTTAGTGTCGAGGTGACAATATTAAAGGAAACGCACCCGAAGAGGCACAGTGGGAAGGCTGCAGGTTGAATAAAAAGGAGAACACTTACTGTTCTTTGCTTTTTGTCTTTGGTTTGTTAGATTCTGACAGACAGTGATGCAATAGAGAAAGAACCTCAGGAGGAGAGTAGGAAACAATAAAAGATATCCTTTCTCTTCTTTGACATCCGTCTTCTCTGCCTCTTTGCTCCATAGCTGCTGTGGAGCTGCTGGAAGTGAGAAATCAGTTCAATGCAGCCTTCTCAGTAGGAGGAAGGAATCCCTGTTAACTAGACTTTCATCTCTTAATTCAAAATGCTTGGAAATACAAACTGCCATGCAAGTCCTAAAACTCCATTCAGACATACCCCAGGGCATCAACTTATACAATTAGTCTATATTAAAAAAGATCATTTTTGCTGTAAAAAGAGAGAAATTCAGAAGAACCAGGTATCTAAATGTAGGGATATGTAGATGTTTATTTGCATTTGCCATTTTTCATTATTATTTATTCCAAAATGTTGAGAAACTAAAGTAAATATTGTTCATCCTGCTTATATAAAAAAAAAGGATGGATGGGTCCTAGTTTCTTTCCTTTTTTTTCTATTTTTTTTAAACATTTTTTTCAATTTCCAAGATATTTGTGATGAAAGTGTGCCTTTGGATTTGCGCTACCTTTGCCTTCTTCTCCTGTTATACTTTGACAGGTTTTTTTTCTAGAGAGGAACTTCAAATACTCACTTGGTTTTTGTAGGGATCTCCTGAGTAATATCATCACAGAATCGCTGCTAGCACCTTTGACTCTAAAAAAGAAGAAGGAAATATCCAAAAATAGGAACGTTTTGTAGGATAAAGTAAACTGTTTAAAGCTGTTGGTGTGTGTGTTTTATTTTACTAATTGTTTAATTTATCATTTTGAAATTAATTTATCTTCCAGGTCTAATTAGTTTCTATAAGATGGGAATAACTTTGTGTTTAAATGTGCCTCTTTTTCCTCCGAGGTTGTTTATTTCATATTTCCTTCTCAGGGTTGAAATGCCTTGCGGTACTGTCTCTTCAGTGTAAAATCAGCTTTTACCGTTGTGCCTTTTTTTCCCACCTCAGCAAGCCAAGCCAGAGACCTGCTGTCTAAGATGCTGATCATCGACCCTGCTAAGCGGATATCAGTGGATGAGGCCTTACAGCATCCCTACATCAACGTGTGGTACGATCCAGCTGAGGTGGAGGCGGTGAGTAGGTGGTGTGTGTCTGTGTGTGTTTGTGTGTGTAGTTAAACCACAATCATGGTTCCATAGGCTAACAAACTGCCTCTGCTTTGACTTTAGCCTCCACCTCAGATTTATGACAAGCAGCTGGATGAACGAGAACACTCTATAGATGAGTGGAAAGGTAAAATGATCTAATATCACCAACACTAAAAGCTAAATGTTAAAGTTGATGATTTTGCTCTAGTTAGCTCATATGTTAATTAGGAAATGTTTTCTTTTTTTATCCCAACTTTTTTGCAGTTTCAAAGTGCACAAATCACCCCCCTCTCTTTTTTTCATGTTTATGCAGCGACTTAAACAGATAATGCAAAGTAAATTTGTGCCAGTGTGTGCTTTTCTGATTTTTCTCCTCGATTGTGCACATTGCCAGAGCTAATCTATAAAGAGGTGATGAACTTTGAGGAAAGAACGAAGAATGGCGTTGTGAAGGGACAGCCTTCACCTTCAGGTACTCTCAGTGCATAAGCCTAATCGCTCTGTAAGTGAATTTACTATAACCTTAAATGGAGTTATCCCTTGTATATAGAGATTCCCATTGTGTTGTTGACCATATGTCTCCATCTCTTGCATCTCGGATTGAGTGTGTTTTTTCTATTATTGTTATTTTCTTTAAATGGCTCTTGTGTGTGTGTTTTTTTTTTTTTTTAAGTATTTGGTAAATGAAGACAGAAGGAAATCTTCTACTAGTAAACCTTCTTTCTGGTACAAAAAAGAAATTATGGCAAAACCTATAAAAAAAAATAAAATAAAAAACATGTGCATGCTTGTATTTGTGTATATAATGTGTCATGTTTAAGGTTTGGGCTGTGTGGTGTACCTTGCTAGCTAGTATACTAAACTACAAATACATAAATATTCATGGAATAACAATGACTGCTTTTTATACAAGCCACCACATGGGGGCAGTAAAGAGTCAGGTGTTTGCACAAGAAAACCAGACACAATCCTCTGCAAATATAATGAGAGAATCAGCTTAACACCAGTATGTTGATAAGGGTGATTAAGACAAAGAAAATAAATTTCCTTTGACTATAAGAAAGCAAAACAAATCCCTGTCAGTCATTAGTATTAAAGTATTTCAACAAGACTTAAACCTTTTTAAAAGCATTGTAACATACTTTTCTGCTCTCTGCACCATATTACCTTTATTCCTGACTAGTTTACAGTGTCATCCTTTCCCCATCTGCATCTCGTAATTAGATTGGCTGCTGTGTAATGTCTGATGCTGAGCGTATCAGACGCAGTGCAGGAGCTGCAGACAGTATTTCACTGCAGCAGTGAGTCGAGGGAGAGAGAGCACATATGGTGCCTCAGTCAGAAGTTGACAATTTCATATCTGTAATACTGTGAACTAGTTTGTTTTCATCACATATATGTTAGGACCTGGTGGAAACATGACACCAATCAGAATTACACCTAAATGAACTTTCACTTCTACGTTTTCAGCATTTTTTTTTTGAATTTTATTTCTGTTTTTCCACTAATTGAACAACAGCGCGCTTATGTTATGCAAAGTATTAGCTAAGTAGGCAAATTATAAGACTGTATTTAAAGGGCATATCATTTTTACATGCAAAATGGCCATGTTTGAAATCAAGCATGGTTGCATTATGGTCGAGAGCAGGGCCTGAAGTTTGGTATTGGCAACCATCCACTGTTACAGGTATTTGTGAAATCCACCTGCCACAGAGTTTTTTGCTTGTTTTTTTTACCAGCCAAAATGTTATATGCCTAAAATCAAGGTGAACAACACACACATTAAAGTGCTTAATCTCATTTATGACTCACAACTGTAGCCGACCTGGCGTCACTGGCATTTAGAATAGAAAATGACAGAAATACACCCAGCCAAACATCTCACTGATGGTCTCATTTATGTAGCTAACACCCACCTGCAAATTTGACTAACTGCATAATCGATTGCCTGTGTCAAATCACAGTCATGGCAACCACAAAACAGACTTTAAATAGAAGGCAACCAAAGTTTCACTCAGTTTTTTGAAGAGGCTTTGACATCTATCCAGGACCCAGATGCCAGTGAGGAGGAGGAAGTTTATCTCTGACAGACAATTGCTTAAAAGCTTTCCTCTACAAGCCCAGTTTGCCTGTAATTCCCCATAGTAGTTCAATTCAATTGACTTTCTTTGTTTTAACACCAACTAAATGCACTTTACAGTAAATGTATTGAATGACAAGTGCTGACCAAACAAATTACAATAATGTTTCATTCTGGTAGCATTCAGATAGACGTTTTGATTTGATCTCCACCTCTGACCTGCATTGTTACTCCAGTGGGCCTCTAACTTCTCCTGTGTTGCCGACATAGCCTAGTTAGTGTCAACCAGATGCAGTGATAATGTAAGTCTTATTTTTTACGCACATTGAGTCTGTTTCACCTTTGGCAGTTTACTTACGTAAACCGTAATGTTCGGCTGCTGTCAAATATCCAGGGAATCTTTCACCAAAATGATGTCAGCTGTTTAGACATGTTGTTTAACAACAAAACTCAAAGTAATGACATACAATCTGTGGTTCTCTGGGCTCAGAAGAATAAACAACTTTCTAGAGTAGTTAGTTATATTTAGTAAACATGGAGGGAGAACATCGGAAAGGAGGCTTATTGATTTATTTATGATGAAGATCATCAGGTAGCAGCTTTTTTCTATTGTTGAAGGATATAAGACAACATTGTGGGACATTTATTCCCATAAACAATACCAGGTCCTGTGTTGATTGTCAACTTACTCCCTCACTGTTTACTATTGTCTCCATGGCATTAGGTATGTTGTCTTCCTTTCTGTTAGTTTTTTATTTTAAAGCCACATTTCTAAATGTTTTTGTCTCCTTTTAACCTATGTATTTTCTTTAACCTTACCCACATTTCCAGAATAGATACCTTTGGTTAAGTAATTGCTCACAGATTTCTTTGCTGCCAATAAGCCACATGCATCTAGCATAGTCCTGTTTGAAAAGTCTGATCAGGAAGAAAAAAAACCCAAATGTTTGCTTAAATTGATAGATGATGGAGCATGTTTCCTTGTTGGCCTTCATCAACAAACTGTTGCACTTTAAATTAGATTCATCCTTCATATATTATAAATTGATAATTTGCAGCAGGAATGCTGTATTAAACTTACTGTAAGTTATGTTATTCCACCTGCCTGGGAAAGTTACCTCCTAAAGTATACAGATTGGTGTTGTGTTACAAAGTTAAGTCAACTGCTTCCATATGATCAATCTGTGATGACAATTATTGATATATATCATCCATCACTGTATAAGAAGAAAACCTGCAGATGCAACATGATTCTCTTGCTTCCACAGGATCTCAGTTCCTATTTTCAGAAGCTATTCTTAATTTCAGTACTACAGTAAATCTCTGTTACTGGGGAAATCACAGGCCTGCAGGTTGGATTAAAGAGTCCTCTGATGAGGTCTGGTTAATGTTGCTGCTGATTGATTGTAACTACAAAAAACCCATCAATGAAAGAAAATTGGAAAACTGTTTAAATGACTTCATAATGAACCGATGTGACTGATGCTGCAACAGTCTGAGTTTCATGAAGCCTCTGAAGACAGAAATCATACAGAATGTGGAGAAAACAACTCCTGCCTGTAGAAAGCTGAATGTTTTTTAGCCTTTAATGGTCTTTTATTGAAAACCCACAGAACCCAAACCTTAATCACTCTCCTCTCTTCACACGCTCACTGTACACTTCTGGTCAGACGTTTGGATACAGTCATTAACATGAATGTCATAATAGTTTGGTAACTTGATGATTTGTTTGAACAATGCTTTGTCCAGGCTGAAATTATGGATAACAATACAACATCAAAAACTTAAAAAAAATAACTACAAAACAAGAAGTTGGTGCACAATTTTTGATATATCCTAAATGTCCTCAAATCCAAACAGGGCCAAAATTTAAGATAAATAGATTGAATCAAAGCCATTTGTAGAGGCAGCAGCAATCAACAAGCTTTTGTGCGCTCTTCTGGTTATTTCACTGCTCTATCTATCTATCTATCTATCTATCTATCTATCTATCTATCTATCTATCTATCTATCTATCTATCTATCTATCAGCTAGCTAGCTAGCTATCTATCAGCTAGCTAGCTAGCTATCTATCATCTAGCTAGCTAGCTATCTATCTACATTGTTATTAAGTTATAAAGAACTAAAGCCAGAGCGCTGGGATCATAGTAAAGGGCTGATTGCTTGAATGTCATTAATATAAGTATGAATGTATGTCAAATGACTTGAATATTCCCTAGAAGTTTCTAAGATTAAAAACATGGGTAAGTTTGCTAGTTTATTTATTTATTGACAAGCTCAGTGGGAGTAGCCTGAATTAGCAGAAACAGGTACATTTGCAAAGTATTTCTACATAAAATTTCAAATCCCTAACCTGATGCAAAATTATATAACTGGGTCTCATGATATTTGGGAACTTAGAAGTTATAAAACAAATGTATTTGGTTATTTTTGGCACATAGCAAGTGGTGTGATATTAAATCTACCTATTGGAAGATAGATAATGAGCAAAAACAAATTAAAGCATTTTATTAGAAAGGATGAGTAAGGCCAACCTTAAGCCTCTGACAGTGCTTTGTTAAGCCCTAAACTCAACCCAACAAATCAACAAATTTTACTAAAACTTTGCTTTTTGTTGATTGCAGAAAAAAAGTAGATGGTTAAGTTGGAACTTGCTTTGGTACATCGAACCAATTATTAGTGAGAATAAATGTGCATATTTAACCCTGGAGGTGTAATTCCATAATAAAGTCAAACTTGTGCTCCTTATTCTTTTTAAATATCAACCATGTTGTTTGTTGTAGTACCTGTTCAGTCTGGCACAAATACCCTTTAAATGGATCATTAAACAAATCTAACATTCATGTCCCCAACGGCTGCCTGTAATCTTCTGATCAGAGCTGTAGCTCTTGTAGATAATGTATTCATCCCCCTGTGCAGTCTGTCTGTGCTTGCAAATTGAGTCCTCTGCCTTTATATTTTTACTTCTTTGCTCTCTTTGGGACTTTCTTCCGTTTTAACCCTCCTGCTGCTGTTGATTCCCGTAGCACAGGTGCAGCCGTGAACAGCAGCGAGAGCCTCCCTCCCTCTTCCTCTATCAACGACATCTCCTCCATGTCCACAGACCAGACCCTGGCTTCAGACACTGACAGCAGCCTGGAGACCTCCGCCGGACCCCTGGGGTGTTGCAGGTGACTATCCGCCTGCCTGCGCAACCCCATGTTCTTCCGAAGATGAAGAACCCAACGTATTCGACCGACAAAATAAAATAAAAATATTGAAAAATGAATATAAAAAGAGGCAAAAGAATAAAATATGTAATAAAATAAAGATCAACATCAGTATATTCTAAACAAAAATATAAGCTATGGAAACAGGCTGACATGATGATACTCAAAGCGTGCGCATTGTCATTCAAAAAGCAGCATTGGTATTAAGCCGAAGTAAATGAGCTGAGAAATATGTTACTGATCCTCTAGTTGCTTTGCTTCTATCCCCCCATCACACGTGTGTCTAGTACCTGGCATCCATACAGTAAACCTGCACCTCCTGTACAGTGCGTTATGACTCCTGATTACTTCCACAAGCGTCTGAGGCCGATCATTGTGGCAAGGTGGGCTGCCATCGTCTTCATTGCTTTTGCTAACAGAAAAAAAAATGCCTTTTTGATCTGCATTCAACTCTTAACCCCCTGCAGACTCCCTCCCACCCCAACACGAGTTGAAATGTAGTTTTGCCTGGATTGTTTGTTCGTTTTGTACGTCTTCAGGGAATGTGCAGTTGCTCTAACCCACCACTGCTTGTAAATACTCTAATTCTGTACAGCTGAAGGAATGACAGATTGGGACTGAAGGCCAGTACACTGGGAGGTTGTTTATTTATTTTTTTTATCTGACTAGCGCGCACCTTGCCACATTACTGCTTCCCATCTCAGTTTCCCCTCTGCCTATCGCTGTAGTTGTGCATGATTAGATTAAAACAACGCAAAAGTCACCATATTCTAAAAAAAAAAAGCAGTCTGTACACACTTTTATTCTTGTACAATGTAAACTGCAGATATGGCCTCAGTAGGACTAGGGCGTGTCGGTAAAACATGGACAAGCTTGTAAAATCAGGCTTGAAATGCAGCCGATTTCTGAGTCAACTTGCTATTTCCCCTGGCGGTATAATGGGTCCCTCCACCACCCCACAGGCTGGTCAACAGCTCTGCATGTCATTGTGTAACAATCCAGGGTTAAGAGAGTTAGATCAGTTTCATTGTGGTGTAACCACAAAGAGAAATCCTCCTTTCATTGGACTCCTTTAACAGTTTTATGAGACAAACGTGAAGCAGTGGGGAGTTTTAGGGCCAGGTGAGGAGTGTTAACCTTGTAGTTGTGACTTACCTGTTAAATAAACTTGTTCTTAATTTTACGGCAAACTAATCCAACACGTTTTAAAAAGGCAGCTGGATACAGTACATCTGGTATTTTTTATTTTTTCACTTTATGATTTTAAGCCTCATGGCTCATCTATTTATTTATACCAGTGGGAGGAATCTGGATATGGCAAGCTTTTGTTTTTTGTTAGGACTGCAGCTGCAGAAATTACCAAAGAAAAAAAAGTCCCCAAACCACAGTTTGGTGCAAGGATTCGGGGAAGGTCCTGTTTATCTTCCATTGTTTTCAGGATAACATCAGTCGGTGAGCCCTTTCCTAGCTTTACCTCCACAAGTCTTTGCAGATTTAGCTCTTAATTGTTCTGCTCTGTTCAATTATCCATCAAATTAGTAATTTTTGTTTTGTCTACAAAATGCTAAAATGTTGGTCCTATATAAACAGGGTTACAAAATGAACTATTGTTAGAAATAATTATAGGTTCTTGACATCTTTTTTCAAAAACATCAAGCAGCCATCCAGTTTTTAACTTTGTATGTGCTTAGGTCAGGGGTCGGCAACCCGCGGCTCCGGAGCCGCATGCGGCTCTTTAGCGTCCCCCTTGCGGCTCCCTGGAGCTTTTTCATAAATTTATGAAAATTGATTTTTTTTTTTATTATTTTAATATTGTGTGCAGGAGGTCAAACAAAAAGGAATAATGTTTTCCAATGCTTTAAAATTTGTATGATATATTTAAAATAATTTCATAACTTGCAACCAGTGTGGCACGGTGCCAGGCAAACAAAGCTGCAGGAGTGTCTTGAACCATGGATCCCAAAGGGAAAAAAAGGATGATTGCTAATGAGAAAAGAAGATTCAAAGAATGGAGTGAATCATTTGCTTTTATTAACGATGCAGAAAGATTGCCTGCATTTTTGCTCTGTAATGAAAGGTTGTCAAAAAATAAAACATAAACATTTGGAAAAGCATTTTCAGGAAAGGTGAGCTAAATATGCAGCTGACCACCAAGTTGGGAGTGAGAGAAAAAGTGCAGCTGCAGAACTTCTGGATAAATTAGAGGAGAGCAAAGATAGATTTAAGAAGTGGATTGCATCTCCAATACTTCTGCTAGTTTGGTTGCAAGGATGGAAAACCGTCCACAGATCCAACAGGTAGCGCTCTGATGCAGGGATGGGAACTTTTTCCATTTTCCCCCAAATCCTAAAAATATAAATAACACCATGGAACGATAGTGATGGAGGATGTGGGATTTCAGGGTTAGAGAGCTCTGCTCTGATGGAGGTCAGTTCCTGCTTGGTTCCTCATGACTCAATCAGCTCCTTCCAATAGAAACACGTCCATCATAGAAAGATTCCTTTTTCGTGTTTCTATAATTTCATCAATGCAACAACACAATTTCGCGGTGAAGGGCAGTGAAGCGGCACGGGATGGAAGTGCTCACTGCGCCTCCCTCACCTCATGCTGCTATGTGACATTTGCTCCAGGATAAACATTTAATCATGAATGCTTATTATATATTTAAGCCCACATAGTCCTTTGCTACTGTGGGATAATAAACCTAGAGCCTGTGTTGATATACAAGGCATATATAAGACTTTTACATTTTTGTGGCTCCAGACAGCTTTATTTTTTCTTTTTTGGTCCAATATGGCTCTTTGCTGACTCCTGGCTTAGGTAGAAAGAGGAACAGAGGACTGGACGAAAACATAAGAAATCAAAAGAATCAGAGAAACAAAAACGATCAAATTTTCTAATAATGTTTCCCTGCTGGTATAAATGACCCAATTACCCAATTGTTATTTTTTGTTAATTTTTTTTAAACAAAAGCATTACTTAAACTGTGCTGTATGAGCTAAGCAAACTCCTAGTTTGCAATATAAATAGTAAATTTAAAGTTCTGATGATCAAATGCTCTACATCTATTTGTAAAGCAGAATGGCTGTGTCTGTCTTTCTGTACTGTATTTAATCATTCCACTATATTATAGCTATGTCACACTTTTTGATTTGATTTCATAAAAATGTTTGGAGTCAAACAGCTACTTTGTTAACACTCCTGAAGCCAGTGCACAATGTAGAAACCTTCCCGGAGGGAAGATTGGGACTGAGGTCGGTGTCTCTAGAATAAGCTACGACTAGCTGGGCTTTCTGTTCAGGGTCTGGGTCAGGGCTGTCTTTCAAAAACAGGGTGCGACTTTAATATACTTTGTTTTCAAAATGTTTTCACCTAAGGAGATCCACAGCTTGAGGTGGCTCCTTTGTACCACAAACGCACACAGTAGTGTTACAGCTTTTCTACAGGGCATTTTGATCCATGTAATCTCTCTCTATTTTCTGTATCATGACATATTCCTGGTCACTTAGTAGAAATATTGACACATCTTAATCTCTTTATTTTTTTCTCTTTTAATGAATGTGAACTTTTGATCTTTTTATTCAACATCCCTAGGAACAATTTTCTTGTGATTAAAGGTGCTTTTGATCCTGGTTAATGCTCCTGATGAAGAGGGTTCAGACACACAAACTGCTGGTTGTTTTTCAGCACTGAATGTAGAAACAAAGGGTTTCACGAGCATGCGTGTCATTGTCTTTGAATTTGACCAGCAAACAACACAAGATCATTTTTAGATGTGACCCAAACCCGAGTCTTGATGTGATCGCTTACAAGAATGTTAAAGAAGAGCCCAGGTGTCTGTTTGAAGATTGTTTGTGTGATAATAGGTGTTCAGTTACATTAACCACTGGATTCAAAAACTTTACTGTCAACCCTGATACAGAGTTTTGCAAAAAGATCTGAAAGTAATCTCTTATGTGCTTAAAATCTTAAAATCTCTCAGCCTTTCATTTGTAATCTGAGGATGACTGACTTGTCATTTAGCCATAATACTATTTCAAATACTGAAAAAAGAAGACTACACGTCACCGGGTAGGATACGTCTTGTAGTAGTTATCCCCAATCTTTTACTTTCTCTTGAATTCAGCTGTAAATACTAATTCTCACTATTCCAGAAATGCAATAAACATTTTTATTGCTCTCAAACAGGGAGGCAAGCTACTGTGAGGGTCAGATGAAGAGTCTACAACAATGAAACCCTGTATAGCTCATCTGAATCAGGTGACCTTCTTCGGTTCTTTTCCGACTTCTCTCTTGATTCTTTTGCTCTGTGCTGTTTGAAATGAGTCTTTCTTTTTGACATCGTCAGGTTGAAAACAAAAAGAAAATGTATTTGTTTCCCGCTGATCTCAAAGCTTCAGGCTATAGCGTTTCCAGTAAAAGTCAAAATTAACGCAAATGAAAAGAAAACGAGAAACAGAACAAAACAAAACAAAAAAAAACTTACTGAAAGCTGTTACTGTAAACACAACATTTTAAAGGAACTGTGTATGTAAAAAAAGTATATGTATGTGATTGAAAATAAAGAAAACCTTTGATCTTGGACTGTTGTTCACTTGTTTTTCTTTTATTTTGAGACTTTGATATAAAAAAGTATCAAATGACATAAAACTCTATTCTGAGCTAAAAACGTAAAAAAGTAAAAACAACAATTTTCATCAAGATCACTGATTCTGGCAGCGGCCAATTTGCCTAAATATAGCAACACCTCACTCCTGACATCTTCCGGCAGTGACATCATGGTGTGGTAAGCCGAGCGCCATTCTCCCTGCTTTAAGCAAAATTAATTGGAACTACTAGACACATCTGCAATCAACCTTTTTTGAACCAACCAAACAAGATTTTGAGAGGACTTAACCATTGAAATTCGCAAGAACAATAGTTAAACTGACAATACCCACATGTATGGCAGTTGGATGTTGTAGTGCATCAGGTAAAAGAGAAAAAAAATTAGTTATTTCACCTTTCCGATTCATGATCCTGCATGGACGGGTTCGACGTTGGATTGACGACTTGAAGAGGGAGAATTTGCCATCAAACTTTTGGCCAGAGAAAAAACACATAATATGTAGCCTACATTTCGAAGGAGAATGTTTTCAAGTTGACTTAGATAATAGCTCATTATGACAAACACCAGATACAGCATTGGGACTTGCTCAACAGCCGATATCGCACTGTGACGTTACAAACAAGTAGGTGGCAGTAGTGTTCTTTGACAAAGATGGATGCCTCCAGTAAAGCACATTCAGATGAAAATTACTCTTAATTAAAAAAAACTTTTCATTTATTAAACAGTATGCAAAAATTTCGTATTTCAAGTACTTTCAGAGGTGTTAATTCTGAATATGACTGGACTTCTTCTTTATTGCACAATTAGCACACTTGTTATCTGCAAGTATTTTCTCTTCAAGAGCCATCTGTGGTGTCTGTCAATATCCACAGTAAAACCACGCGAGTATTGGCATGACCTGAAAAAACACTCAGAAAGGAAGAAGCCATTGCTTTAAAAATACACAATAAGGCTAGATATGGTTTGTAAGACATGCTGGGACAAAAGCTTTAATTTAGAGACCTGTCTTGTTTCCTGCTGCTTAAAATTGAATTGCTTGGCCAGAATTAGCCATGTCACATTTGGAGGAAGCTGTCAAGTACAGAGATGGTGGTATCATGCCATGTGAGTGTTTTAATTAAGCAGGGACTCGTGCATAAATAGATAACATGAGTAAAGAGCATTATAGCTTATGGCTAAAGACTCTAAATAACAATGTAAGAGCCAAAAGTTTCACATAGTTTGAAAAATCTTTAGTTATGTCTAGTTAGTAGTAGGCAGAGAAAAAACAAAATACTTTTCTTGCTCACAGCTGCACATAGGGTAATAAAAATCAATGATTTGATAACTTATTAATGTAGTCTGTGATTTTGGTTGCTGTAGGGGTCAATGTAGATTTTAGAGTTATGGATTAAATAAAGTAGGTCAAGGGCAAGAAAGTAAAAGGACTGAAAGAGGAAGATAGTCCCACCAGTATGCCTACAGCCCAACACTATTGTGATAAGCTTGTAGAAGGATACTTTAAACATTTGACCCATATTAAAGAAGTATTAGTATTTGGTAGATTGAAGTTTTTTTTTGTTATAAATAACACTTTCGGTAATCCTAAATGACTTTAGGTGGCCACCATCGGATGCCAGACCCAACCACACCTACTATAGATAAAACTAACACTGAAATAGATTCCAATGAGGGAACTGCAGGGTATAAAAACAAGCCATCAATTCACACAGAAAGATGTATATATAACTGAAACAAAGCTGGGAAAAGAAAGATGAATAAAACTTTCTGCAGACAGATGTACCGGTATATAAAGTCTGAGACAGCCTGCTAACGGGCCCAGATAAAATGGAAGCTCCATCCAAAATAAAAAACACAAAAAAACCTTATGGGGATAGAGGGGGTGCATGAGTCACCAGGTGAGACATGGATGGACAGAGAGCAAAAGCTAAAGAAAGTTTTAGCTGAGAAATTATTTTAGCCAGATGTGAGCTTAAAGAACAAGCCTGACATCGTACAAAAGGCCAAATCTCTGAAAGTTACAAATATTTACACAATGACTTTACAGAGGCTGTTAGGAGAAGGAGGCAGGAACTGGTGTCAAGGTTAAGAGAGAGAAGAAATAGGAGGATACAGAATTTTTTTGTTATGATTAATTGCCTTAGAAGAAGTATATCAAAACCACAGTAATACAGATTGTTCTCAATGATTAGTCTACCTGTCAAATTACTGTAAGCAACACACACCTGTAA